GAAAGGTGTTATGTCATTGGGGTATTGAAATGCAGATTTATTTTATGTTTTCATTATGATCTGTCCAGACATTGAAAATCAATCTAGAAAGGGTTTGTTCAGCAGACCAAAGAAGGAGTTTGTTAAATGAACAAAAGTGATAACTGCTTCTCTCTGCTCTTTATGAGCTACTTCAAATGTTTCCAAACTCACTGTGAAGCTCAGCGTCTTTCATTCAACACCATTAAGGCTTCACACCTCGTTGCATTCCAATTCCATTCGGTCATTTGATGTCTAATAGATATATCCTGTTACTGTCGACACTATCAACAGACCCTTTGGTGTATTTTGTCAGAAAGAAATGGTGAATTGAGCCCAGACAGTGTCTCAAAAACTCCACCATTTACAAAGATAATAAACAAATGAAGTATATCAGCTCCGAGCACCCACCCAAACAAAAAATGCTTCCACAAGGAAGAGGCTACAGGACATGTTTACGAAGTCCTCATTAAGGAAGTTGTGAGATAACACGCGCTCGTGCATCACATGGAAACTGAAGATGTGCATGCCCTCACACACACCAGCAAAGAGGCCATACACACTTAGTAATGTAGAGCCCACCATATCATAGATAAGGGACAGAGAGAAAGCTGGGAAGACCAGAGCAGAACAGGCAGAAGAAGACAGAGACTGACTGCGGACTGGACGCAACAGAGATGACTCGGACAGACAAAGTTAAGTTTCAGACACTTAGTCACTGGAGCTGCAGAGGTGTTGTCCAGGACATCAGTTGTGCATGTGAATGAATGCTGTGAAATCTGAGAGCATCAGGATTACCCTCCTGCAGAGAGACTCCCACTGGTCAGTGCAAGGGTCAACAGAACCACCAAGAACCGACCAGAACTTTCTTTGGTTGCAGATGAAGTGAAGCCTGTTGCACGAACACCAATAAACGGGCGCTAACGAGATAGAAGCCTGTTGCACGAACACCAATAAACAGGCGCTAACGAGATAACTGCAGTTTTTCTCATGGCGAGCATTTGGGTTTCTGAACCCAGAACCATCTGCAGCTCCAAGACACAGCTCCTGCTGTTATCCATCCTGCTACTTCAGGAACTCTTCTGTGGCAGGAGCAGTCCCATCTCCAGCCCCAGGGCTTGACGATGGACACAGAGGGGTGGTGGATCCATCGTTGCTGGAGCAGGATAATAACGTAGACATGCAGAGTCTGCTGGAGAACTTGAAGGGACAATTTCTGCAGACTTTCAACCTCTCAGGTTCGGGTCCTTCACTGTCTCCTGGAAACTTGAGAGAGGAGCCACCTGAGTACATGATGGAGCTCTACAACCACTTTGCTAATGACCACAATGCAATGCCTTCTGCCAGCATCATCCGCAGCTTTAAAAATGAAGGTAAGGCTCGTTTGTTTATTGAGGGGCTAATGGGTCAAAGGTTAAAAACAAATTCTTTACATCACTTACGTTAAAAAAAACAATGTTTTGGATGAATAAAAATGAGAGTAACGGCTTTGGGGTCCATTTTTCTAGTCAACATTTCTGTTAGTTTCAGAATGACACTGATTTCATATTCAAATCTTGGATTTTTCTTCCTCAGTACATTATATTTGAAATGGTTTTGGTGTTGTGACCATCCATCCATCCATCCATTTTCATCCGCTTATCCGTTACCGGGTCGCGGGGGCAGCAGTCGCCACCCAAATCACATTGCACCGTACCAACCCCCCTGAACCTTCCTGCGGGTGGTGAGTCCACTGGAAGGTACCAACTGCCCTAACCGGGATTCGAACTTGCCCAGGAGGTGAACCCTGGGGTTCCACACCAATGACAGAGACATTGCCTCTGGGCCAAAGCGCCACTTGGTGTTGTGACCTAAGTTGAAATCTTTATCTAAATACATTTTGTATACCATGATACTATACAAAAATGTACTTTGACTACTTGTTTTCTTTTTTTTTTTCGTCACCCCCTCCTCTTCAATGTCTCAGTCGCTCACCATGAACGCATCACCGCAGCAGAACTCCGCATCTACACCCTGGTCCAGACTGACTGCCACCTTTACGCAGGGATTGACCGCAAGGTCACAATTTATGAAATCGAATCGAATGGGCAGGCAGACTATGTGACAAATGATAACATAACTGGAATAGATGTGTTCAGAAGAGAAGGAGAGCAGATGAAGTGGGTGGAGTTGGCATCACGACAGGTTTATGGTACTGATAACGGGTGGCAGGCCTTCGATCTCACTGCCGCTGTGCAACGCTGGCACAATTCTGACGGGGTCACCACGCACCGGTTAGAAGTGCATATTGCCAGCATGTCTGATGATGGTGTTCAAAATATGTTAGAGGACAACAAAAACAGGCATCCACCTGTAGGGGACATGAAGGTTGATACTAGACCTGAGGAGAAACACAAACCCCTGCTCATTGTTTTCTTAGACGATCAGAGCAGCGACCACCGGCATGACAAGTGTGAGCTGAATGAGATGATTGACCATGAAACCTCAAACATAGTTCTGCAGAATAACATAGGGATGGGTGATTGGAGTGATGAGGGAAGAGAACAATCTGAGCCTGATGAAGAGGATCTCATTCAGATGCGGTCCAATCTCATCTTTGACTCAACGTCACGCATCCGTCGCAATGCCAAAGTCAACCACTGCAAAAAACAGTCTCTATATGTAGAGTTCAAAGATATTGGCTGGGATAGTTGGATCCTAGCCCCTCCTGGCTACGACGCCTATGAGTGCACTGGCGTTTGCTCTTTTCCACTCACAAAGCATGTCACACCAACCAAACATGCCATTGTTCAGACGTTGGTCAACATAAACAGTCCTCAAAAAGCAGCACGAGCTTGTTGTGTGCCCACAAAGCTAGACCCTATCTCCCTGCTCTACCTGGACGAGACAGGTGTGGTCACCTATAAGTACAAGTTTGAAGGCATGGTGGTCGCTGAGTGTGACTGCAGATAGTCCCTGCTCTGAGACGGAACTAAACTTATCGTAAGGTCTTATCGACGCAGAGGAAAGGCACTGAAAAAAACAATAAGCTGGAAGAGGAGGACAGAATGTCTTTGACAAAATGGCATGACTATTGTTCGTCCCAGTTCGTGCAAGCATGTGTGGACAAACAAGACTCACTAAAGACACTGCTCACCTTTATGCCAATATAGACAGTGGAGAGACAACATGTCACTGACCTACAGTCTGCATGTTGCCAAAAGTGACACCAACAAGAGCAAAAAGGAACAAGATTTTCCAAGGACTCAACCAAGTACATGATCTGTCTAGGAAGCCTTGTGGGAACTTACAGGCCAACACTTCCCCTCCCTCCACTTCCCCTACCTCCACTTCCCCCCTGACATCTGTCTTCCTTTCCACTTATCTCTGGACTCCCCACTCGATGCAAACACTAATCAGCACTTCATGTGTCCTGGTGCAGGAAAATGACCTCCCAGAAGCAACCTGACAAGACATGAACTTTACAGGCCCCGCTCCTGCCTCCTGCAGACCCCTGATACGTAAGTGCTGTGTGGGGGTTGTGGTGGTGGCATGGTTATCTCTCCCATAGTCTGTTTCCAACGTCACATGCCTTTCTTCAACTCCCTGGAGCTGGAATGATAGCAAGGTGTTGGAGAGTAAGACACATGAGAAACATGTGAGACAACTACTTTAGTTGGAGAACTGGATGCCATTCTGCACATACTTTGACTGCTTGGACTCAAGGGGGTCTATGACAGGTGGGGGGGGTCCACATTCCTAGGTAAAAATGTTTACTGACCCATTTTCATGTACACCATCCTAAGCTATAGGTCATACATCACTTTTATGTAGAAATGTCCTTTACAGAACATTAGCTTCTGTAAGCTAATACCAAGTGTGAAAACAGGGGCCCAGTCTCAAATTTCTGTGACCGCACCTCCCCAAGAAAATGCCAATATTTTCTTATGTTGTTAGCCTTTTGATACCTCTGCTGCTTGTGTCAAATAAAACACTATTTATTGTTCTAACTTATTGATTTTTACAACAGAGTAGATATATAAGAATATGCATATGTAAATTTGATATAAATATAACTTTTTTCTTGTGTAATCATGACAATGCATTTGCAGCATAATGTGATTTGTTGTTGGGAAGAGAAATGGTAACAGTTTTTAAAGGCATAAAGAATAAGTACCTGGTTAAAAAAATAAAAGTTGCCTTTTGTCTAAACAGTGAGTGATTAACTCCTGTTTTATTGTAACTAAGAAGGAGGATCGTTTCATACAAAAACATACCAATCATTACTGAAGCATCAAGCTGACTTTTTGTTTATTTAACTCTATGCCATTTATAAATTTCATTACTAGATGCTGCTATTAAAAAAGAAAAACTTAGGTCTATCGCATCAGTGCTGTGAAAACTGGCCGCTTTTATATAAGCTGTTGAAAACACTTTGTTATATCCCAATACTTTAATAGTCTAACCAAAACATAATCCCTTTGTAAAATGTTTTAACTTTAAAACTTGTATTTCAAAGGCCAAAAAATAAGTAAAATACACCAAGAAATAATCTTTAAAAAATGTAGTTCTTTACCATGAAAAATACAGTAACACGCTTGAAAAGTTAGAACAGATTCAAAAGGCTATACGAACAACTGGACTGAAGTTCTATTTTTCTTATTAATATATATCTAATTATTTGGATCAGTGGACGTTTCACATCCTTTCTTTAAGCCATGGTACAAATTAAGGTTGGAAAAATTCCATGCAAATACAAAAAATGTTCTTAAAGTAAATAAATTTCAATTTACTCACAGTTTACTCACTCAATGTGAAACCTGGCACTGTTTTGTTAAACACAATGCTTATATACTCGCAGGCAGAGTTGGGCACATTACTTTTAAAAGTAGTTAGTTACGGTTACTAGTAACTTTTTCCACAAAGTAATTGAGTTAGTAAATGAGTTACTACATGACAGAAATACCTAGTTACCACAGAAAGTAACTATTACATTACTTTTAAGTTGTAATATGTCTAAGAATTACATTTTTTTTCTAATTGGGTTAAACTGACTGAGTTTGTTAATACTATACTAAAAAAAACTCTTAAAAATGTGTCCATGTCCATTTTGTTGTTAATATTCTGAAAAAATGTACTTTTTTTAGTACAACTTTTGATCACAGGAAAATACTATACAAATAAGTTCCTGAAAAAGTCTTCAGAAATAAAAGTTTCCCAAATGACTAAAGATGCACTCATTTGCCTTAAAATCCTTAGCTATGTCCATTTTGTGGTTAAAATTCAGTAAAAATATACAGAGCACGGAGGTGGCGACGCAAGCGAGTCATCAAAAGAAAGTGGTCGGAACCACGCTGGACAGGTCCATTCCAGGTAACTGAAAGAACAACCCACGCAGTACGCCTGAAAGGAAAAGGAGACACTTGGTTTCATTGGAGCCAGTGTGCAGCAGCTGAGGAACCACAACGCTCCCTGATCGACATTCAGAGAAACCTCCAAGAACAGAACACCGAGTCGGCTGACTCGGAGACAGATCCTACCGACAAAGGGGCAGAATAATCCCCTGGTAGTGATCCAAGACTCCAGGGTAGTCCACCCCTGGAGTCCGAAGAGAAGAACTCCATCCGGGAGGAGGTGAAATAGCGCTCCTCTCCTACATGTAGCGTGCCAAGCTACCACCTCAAGAAAGAAGACATCTCCCAGATGAACCTTATCAAATTAACATTGTGTATTGCATGCTGGTTTATTTTTCTTGTCATTTTTGCATGGGCCTTGTGTAAACTAGCTATCACAGGGACAACGCGCTTTTAAAGAATATAAGAACGCAAAACCATATTCATGCTACCGCTTAAGTATGAGGCCTTATTCATATTTTCACTAATAATCATCGTTTATGCAATTCTATGGTTCTACTGCGATCTCCCCACTCAGAGTTGTAATATATAACATAGCCACGGAACCCGAGGAGCTCGAACACTATCAGCTCGAAAATCTAGAAGCATACTTCTATGGTAATGTTGAACTCTGAAGAGAGTTCAAAAGGGGGAATTGTGGATAAAATATATTCATGTGTTCATAGTTTATAGAAGTATGCAACATATATAATCATGTTTTAAAAAGATCATAAGAGATGTGCTAAAACATATAACCAGCTTGAACATAAAATGCTGCTTAAAGCTAGAACTGAAAACATGCAGATGTAGAGAAGGAGCTGCGAGGTTGAGATAAAACCAAGGTTTGTTGTGAAAAGAGGAGTACTTGGTGTGATGGGAAACAGAAACTTTTAGAATACAATTTGACAATGGCTGGATTCATAGTAGAACACAAGGTCCCAACAACAGCACCTGGGCGCGATAAGAACAGGATGAGAAACTAACGGTGTAGATGCAGTTGCCAAAAATAATGTATGTCTGTGTGTAGAACAAATGAAGTCTGTATCGCTTGAGATGTACCACCTGGATGTGTGTGTCAATTTTATTGACACACACATCCAAACTCTCCAAACTCCAAACTCAGGCCAAACTCAGGCTCTTTTAGAGCCTGAGTTTGGAGAAAGAGCAGGATTCAGCAGTCAACCCCCTGACTCTCCGCTGGACCCTCCCTGTGCACAGGCGAACTCCAGCAACGACTTTTGTCTTTTCTTTATACTTTGTGAAAGTTCTTGATCAACGAATCCGGGGTGGTAAAACCTTACCACAACACACTGTAAACTAATCTTTCACTACGAACGAATTACTCTCTGCAAACTAATCTTTCGCTATGAACGAATCATTCTCTGTGAACTAGTTTTGTGTCGTTCGCGAGTGATTCGTTCAAAACGAACGAATCTTTCAAATGACTTGTGACTCCCGACTCATATGAAATATTTGTTCATATTGAACTCACGAATCACTCACAAATCACTCACTGCGAACTAATCACACTCTGCGAACTAATTTTTCACTACGAACGAATTACTCTCTGCAAACTATTATTTTACTGTGAACTAATCTTTCATTGAAAACGAATCACTCTCTGTGAACTAATCCTTCGCTATGAACGAATCACTCTCTCTGAACTAATCTTTCGCTATGAACTAATGTTTTGCTATGAACTAATCTTTCGCTGTGAACTAATCTTTCGCTTCGTTCTCGCAGATTCGTTTCATTTGTCACGTGAAAGAGAGCTCGGGTCTCTTTTGCTCTCATTCATCTTCACATTGTGGTGTGTTTTTATTTCTTAGCTTTTCCCATGGTTTTAATTGCTTATGGCAGAACCGCAGCCTTCTTTACAAAGCCCCACAACGCTAAAGCACCACCTGCTGTAAAATGAGTGAAATGATTAGTTCAAGATTCGTTCACGACTCGTTAATTTTACTGTTCGAGAGTCAAAGATTCGAATCAATAAAAAGAGTCAGTCTTCCTATCACTAGAACGAGTGGCAGACCGACCAGGAGAGATGCTGAGAGACGGTACGATGCATGAGCCAATCAGCGCGAGGAACATAATGCTGTGTTCATTCTCCTCTAGGTAAACAAAGCTACCAGGCGAAAGGAGTACTGCGATATAGAGAGGGAACCTACAGTATATACCAATAAGTATCTGAAAAATAAAAGTTTCTCACAAATGACTAATGCACTTATTTGCCTTAAAATATTTATCTATGTAAATTTTTCTGGTTTAATTTCAGTAAAATTTACTTTTTTGGTACGCCAACTTTTGATCACAGTAAAATACTATGCTAATAATTTCCTGAAAAAGTCTTCAAAAATAAAACCTTCCAAAAATAACTAAAATGCACTCATTTACCTTAAAATACTTAGCTATGTCCATTTTTGTTGCTAAAATTCAGATAAAAATAAACTTTTTTTAGTTAGAATTTAGTTATCAAATACTTGATTTTTTTCTACTTACTTCCATCTTATCTTTAAAAAACAAAAACTTAAAACCATTTTTAGCCTTACCTTATAGTACTATATACTTATAGATGAAGTCCATGGTTGTATCTCACCTTAGCATTGTAGACGCTAATGTTCAGTGTCCGTTGCTCATCCAAGGCCAAATCGATTCTTGAATTTCCAAAACTTTTAAGGAATTCTGGCTTTGAATGTACGTGGCTGATCTTCATGTCTGCTGAGGCTTCTTTGCAAATGTTTCAGGTCACAGTCTCCCGAGTTAGTCCAGACGTTATCACACGATGAAAAAAAAAGACAAGGAAAGCAGTAATGGCGGTTTCTTTCAGGACAGCCACAGCCAGTCTTTTCGTTTGCACCACTCCATTTGAATAAAAATGATTCTTCTGTCCCATAGTTTGAAGCAAACCTTTTAATTCTGGCGTTGGTCTTCCATCACTTATCACCTTCTGTTTGAACTGGAAGTCCAGTTTTGAGAAATGTTTCTGTCTTGAGCATAGAAAACGCTGTTCTTGACCTACTACTGGCTCTAACCAACTTTCAGAAAAGGAAAGACTTAAGGGCGGTTTCTTTCGGGCCAGCCACAGCCAGTCTTTTCGTTTGCACCACTCCATTTGAATAAAAATGATTCTTCTGTCCCATAGTTTGAAGCAAACCTTTTAATTCTGGCGTTGGTCTTCCATCACTTATCACCTTCTGTTTGAACTGGAAGTCCAGTTTTGAGAAATGTTTCTGTCTTGAGCATAGAAAACGCTGTTCTTGACCTACTACTGGCTCTAACCAACTTTCGATTGCCTGTTGACGCCAGCTGGAGAGCACCTGTCAGTTCATGTACGACCCCTTGAGGAAGGAAGGAAAGGAAGGAACGTGAACTACTTGTCATTGTGCACACAACCAAATGTGACCTCTGCTTTTAACTCATCACCAAAGTGAACAGTGGGCAGCTTTAAGCTGCCCGGGGAGCAGTGTGTGGGGATGGTGCCATGCTCAGAGCACCTCAGTGGTAGCAGCCACTGCCCACACCTTGAGGTGAGGCTGAGTACTGCCTGCCTCCCCTGCTGACTTTTCTCTGCACTTTCTTGTACGATCAGCAGAAACAATTCTCTCGCACATACATTAAAGACATTACACAGACTGTAGAGAGTCGTGCTGTATAATAAATATTTCTGTTAAGTTCATATTGGTGATATGCTGAGGAACAGAAACAGGCATGTGAACCAGTTTGTATTGGATTGTGCAGTCAGATGTGAGGCACAGCTCACCGCTGCCTCACCCGGGATTTCTGCCCTGTATTTGAATGCGAAATACTCAAATTCAGCGATTTTTACTTAATAAAATGTCAAAAAGCTGTAGAGTCATACTGAAAATGCATCTTTAACACAGATCAGTGGAAAATATTAATATTTATTTTATGTATGTTGGTGCCGAAAAATGCGTTATTCAGCAACCACTATTGTCATCTAACTGCCACAGATAGAATGACCTGGAAAGAACCACACCTGACAACGTTGTGAGTTTTACTCGCTGTGAGGGGGAGCTTGCTTCGCAGAGTTGGCTCACCTAAGTCCCAAAGTGCATGAGGACTGCAGCTCCTTTTATTGAATAAGTTACATAAGTGCTGAGCAGTTATTTTTCATTGTGTGCATTCTTTTTGGGCAAAGTTCACACGATTCACATAGATGATGGAGAGCAGACCTCATC